CACCCTTTAGTCAATCTTCAATATGCTTCGGCTGCCAATCCGAAGCTGTTTTGATTTATATGTTTACAACGTGACAAGTAACTCGACCTCTGCCACCTGGAGCTCAGTGTTCTGTAGACACGTGGAGGAGTGAAGACACAAACAATCCTGGAAATTCTGGAAATGCCAAGGCCGAATATAATGTATTATTGACTGTGCAGCTATTCAGCTTCGTCTATAGGTCATTCTGATACCAGTCTATACCCGCTTCAAGGTCCTGCGACTTTCTTGACCTTCTATTTCCTCAAACGATTATCGATATCGAACGCAAATGCAGCTAGCTCCAGAAAGCAATACTTTCAGTCAAGATAGGGCTTCAAGCAGTGGGTTTATACACTAAGAAAAGTGAGCGAAGTAAAAGAAGAGAGGGATCTGGGGTAAAGGCCATCTCTTGAGGCTCCTCTCTTTTTTCTTTGTCTGCTTCCTAGCTTTGCACAAGGTTTCTTCACAAGAGCAAGAAAACTGATTTACATGCATCAGCAGTATCGACATATGCGCAATACAAAAAGCGTTGTGATGTGTTTATTTTGTGGTATAAAAGTATCATTTTAAATGTAGATGAATGAATCATGGTGCTAAAAATACGTGTTGCAGTGATGGTGTTTCATTGACTTTTTTGCGGTGATGCGGTGTTTGTTAATTTTTTTGGTGGGGTGTTGCGGTGTTCAGACCCCCCACCAAAAGAATCTCAACTTTGATGACTGTATTTCCTTAACAGACTTCCAGAATTTGATTATTGAAGACTGGAAATAAGAAACAGGGACCTACCTTGAGTCTTTTTCATACCGGCTTTTCAGGATGATTAATATAAACAATGCCTCTGATCTCTAGATATGACTACCTCAGGCCAAGCTTAAATTGCAGAAAACCCTGATTGAGTCTAATTGTATGCCTCTATATTTGATAAACTTAAACATGCTTATCCTTCTTTACTGTGATATGTATGCTCTTGTGCAATTTCTAAAGCTTAAGCAAATATTAAGCTTACAATTATTCTGTGGAACTCAATAAAACAAGCTAAACACAAAAAAAGTTTCAGAACTCATAGCTGTGACTTGTTTACTACACCGTGCAAAATACATGTACGTTTCCAAATTTATAATGACAAGACTTTTGGTAACTTGAATTAAATATCTTACCTCTAAGTTGGCCTTCTACTAGCGTGCGGAGAAAAAACAATTAATTGTGCTGAATTTTGAAGGAAAATTGTGCAGGAAAAACGACTTTGATTGTGCAGGGAATTGTGCGGGATTGTGCAATCTTTTGATGAACTAAACTTCAATTTTAAGTGTTGTTGCCTAGTCCTACAACAAGGAAATTCTGCATTGACGATAATTTAGCCAAATTTATTTCACTTGTAGTTCAAATACACCTAGCAATTGCCACTTGTGAAGCAAACTGTGTTGGGTGACTGACTCTGTCTAAACAAAATCATGTTAAATGACACGACTAGCTCGACACGCATAAAACCAAACTAGAATGCTGTATCTTCCATTATAAATGAGTTCCATTTTAAAATATTCCTACCTTAATTCAATAAAAATATATAGCTTGAATATTCCTTCATAAACTGCATTAAGGTTTGCAAATTCTTGGATGTTATCCACAAAAAACACAAACTGAAAGTTTATCCAAATTACATACAATTGGATTTGATGCCTTGTTATTGTTAATATTCACTGGAGCACTTTGATTGAGGAAGAATCGTGAGATTTCTTGCTTGCTTTGAAAGGTAAATAGCCTGAAAAGTTTGTAGGAATCTCTGGAAGCAATAGGAACCTGTTTTATTGAAATATTTAAGCTAATCTTCAGGGCTGTCAATAAGGGCCGTAGCCCTTAGCACCTGTTACAGCTGAGCATACCTGATGGGCCCTTGATGCTATATGTGAACTTGCATGTAAAAAATACAGTTCACCTACAAAGTAACAAGTTTGTTATGGGTGTGAAGACCAAGGCTACAGGTGAATCAAAACTTAACAACAGCCCTGAATCTTTAAGGATTGTGCGGGATTTTGTGACCTGCAAACACAGATGGTTGGCTGTAGCTTGTCTTGGTTTTGGAGAATTGTGCGAAATGTATTGCAACCAAGAGCTTGTAGCCATGCTAACTCTTTGAAAAACATTCTACTCTTGTGGATTTAAACGACTGTACGTAAACTGTACAAGAGCAGTGAATTTCTATGATGGCGAGCTAGGGCGGCTATTTCTGTGAACAGTTACGTTCAGCAGCGCACAGGGTCTAGGTACAACGATACAAATAGTGTAGGCCTTACACAATCATAGCGAACTTTGTTTAGAGGGCTTTCTTTATGTTTGTCTTTTTGTCATGTTTTCTGTGTTTTTACTGTGATTTGGGAAGAATCTGTGCAAGTAACTTGAAGTATATCAGGAAAGAAAGATATCACTAAAAGATTACAACATTTTTTTCAGATTCAGAGAGAACTCAAGTGTCAAGTGTTCAGGATCCCCGAAAAGCCCTTTTTTAGGTTCAAGACCTTCCCTACCCCCCCTGCTCCTGCCTGGATTTCTATGAATTTTGAACCCCCACCCCTCCCCCCTCCCCTCCTGAGAGAATTTCCAGAAACCCATCTGTTGGGCAGGTGTGGATTTTTTCTGGAATAACCAATTTTAGGTCAAAGCATAATGAACATATCGATGTAGGTGGTGGCAAAGCGAACAAAAAGGTAAACCAGATTAGTGAATTGCTATTGAAGGATACCAGGACAGTAGACTTTATTGGCTAGTTTCAAATTTGGATAACATGATATCACTGTGCAAAGCGGTCACAAAGTAGAATAAAATGCAGAAAGCGGACCATGGGTGGCCATTTTGCAGGTTACTGACTGTGCTGAGCATACCTGAGGGAGATATCTGAACAGTGAGGGGGAGGTACAGGTAACAAGCACTTTAATAGGAGGGGAGGTGCGGAAATTAAATAGACTGGCCCATTTCCTCTGCAAATTATCACATGTTTCGAAAAGATTTTTAGTTTTTAAAATAATAACTTACATGTAAGCTTACACTTACCTTTCAACTTTTCTTTCACTGTGTCAGATATCTGTTTACACCATGAAGTAGCCTCTTCTGAACTGTATTTCTTTCCAGATAACTCTTCGTTTAAAACATCATGAATTACTGCTTTTACAGCAGCGGGACGAAATCTATTTTCACCAAAAATCATAGAAAATCTCAGCCTTTAATCATGTGGGATAACACAAATTCGATGTAGAAACCTACTTCAAAGCTAAAATGAACGTGAATAAACCTAGCCATTTTGGTAACAATGTAATCGACTTACTTCTGCTTAAAGTTGGGTCGTATATTATACGAATTCGACGAGTCCTCGGGCATTTTGTTATGTTAGAAAACTTGAATCGTTCGACGAAAAACTTTACTTCAAATATGGCGGCGAACAGGCTTCATCTCCATGACGACGAAAAAAAGATAAACTTGTACCCAGGACTAGTGTGCCAAAAGGGCGAGCGCAATAGCTGCACAAATTCTCGCGCGCTCATTGGCTAATTTTTATTATCTTTTTTTTTTTTTTAATCAATCAATAAGCGGACAGACACATGAATGTATAATTTATGCGATGCGTCAACGAGCAAGAGCCAGGCGATAGCGGAGTTTTTGACGATTTGTTATCGTAAAAAACCAAATTGATGTCAGTTTTTAATGCGTCTGTCTTGTTTTTGACAATGAATTTCGTCATAACATTGTCAAAGTAGTCTGCGGATCCACTTGGCTATCGCCTCGTGGATCCACAGCTACTTTGACAATGTTATGACGAAATTCATGATCAGTAACAGGACAGACGCATGAAAATCTGACGGCATTTTGTTAAATCGAATCGGCGTGAAGATTTCAGGAAGAACATTTATGGCCATATTTTTATCCACCTTCACATGAATCGTTGCGGTTATGGTTCCTAAGGTTTTTATAATTGTGCAGTCCCGCTAACATGGGGAGTCGGCGTGGGCTGGTATTTTTTGGAGTGAGTTCTGTTGTAGATGCTTGATGCTTGATGCTTGATGCTTGATGCTTTATATGGGGTTTCTGGGTTTCTGAATTACCCACACGGATATTTCGTTGTTGCTGTCCTTAATGCCAGCCCCAGGCATGTGCAATAGACAAAAACTGATACCGCATGTGAACAAAACTTTACGATCCGTACAGTTTGAGAATATTCTTCTAGCAGGGGGTAAGAAGGGAGAATAGGGGAGGAATAAGTGTTGAACCACACTCATCCGGCTTGTTTTTCTTAGAGTATTTTCCATGTACCTTGTGTGACTGACTGCAATGGCTATCTCTAAAGAATAAATTCCTTCCATCATTGTCGTCTTTCCTTGAGTGTTTTTCTCGTATGCTAGAAATTCTCGTTAGTTATTAATTAATCCGTTCCGTTCATGTTATTGTTTACCTCCAGGCCCGGGTTGTTGATGGTACAGCTTCCATTAAAGATAAGTTTTTTTCTGGAACTGTTCTATAAACCTAGTTAATTACCTCAAAATACTGAATTGTTTTCATGTTCATCATTTTCCGAGGGTCTTGCCATTCCACTCCCCATATCAGTCTTCATGAGATGAGTCGATCTTTTTTGAGCATTAAAATAATACAATATGGACTTCCAAGGCTGATAACAGACAAATCCTGTTTATTATGCTAGATTTGTATTGTTTATAACTTCTGGTGCTAGTATATTTTATCATGTTTCATATACATGGACCGCACACGGAATATTTACAGTATTTTATCCTTATTTAATTTCATAACCTATGCATTCATTAGTCAGGAAAAAAAGCCTTGTCTACATGTTTTGTCAGTTGCCTCTCCGGGTGTTTGATTGTACCTCGTGTAATTTTCAATTTCCTGTTTAGAAATTATTTTAAATAAGACACTCGTGAAAAGTAAGACTCTAACTAACCACATCAAAAACAATGTTTTAGAACTAATCATTGGTCAACAGAACTATGACCGTCAACTGGTTCGCAAGCGTTTGCAAGTCGTTTCAGATCCTAATCACCATGTCTCAGATTCACGTGCTCTGACAGCAATCCTATGATATAGAAAACCGTTTAATTTTGATTCTAGTGCAAGTGCGGCTACGAGTTTGAACGTTACCAACACTCTTGCAGTAAAAAAAGTGGACGCGTGCGAGCAAGGGTTATTTTGGCGGAAAAAGAAGTGGCGGCGCCGTTATTTTTAGTTTTCAAGAAAATGTCTTAGTGGCAAAAACGAAAAAAAGTTCTCTATAGGTAGGTAACATGATTCTTTTGTCGATTACGAAACTGTCAAAACGGGCTTTAAGCGACACAATGACCAACGACGCAGCTAGAGAAAAGTACGGGTGAGGCATTAAAGAGCGTTTTTCTTTCTCCCTCAAAAAAACAACAACAACAACGTAACGAGATCGAACAACAAAACCGTTACAAAAACGGGAAAAAAAGAGTGAGGCAAGTTCATTATGTCGCTCGTGAAAAGTGACAGAAAGCTTCAGCTTCTAAGAATTTAGTCAAAAACGTGTAATCTTTTCTCGCGGTCGTACTTGCATGTACTGAAGGGTCTCTATAACAAATATTACGTTGAAGACTACATGCACCACTAAATTATACTGTCTTCTCTTCGATATCAATTTTAGCCCGTGGTAGATTCACGTTGTTTGCGTCCATGATAATCAAGTCCATGTAGTCCAGATAATCCACATTGGCTGTACCGTTCAACGTACTCGCACCATTCATCCTCGGCTCAGGCAGGTATTGGTCCCACTTTGTTGGGTCGTTTAAGCTTCTTCCAGGGAGGGGAAAGACATAAGGGTTCGCGATGACGGTTTCACTGATCCTACTATGGGTGTCAAGTTGCGCTCTGTAAAGAACACGATCAAAAATGAATTGGATATAAACTGTGCAAGTTAGGAAGAATTGAGAGGCCATGTGGCTTTATGATAAGTACGGTGGAGTGACGATAGGGTTCAGAAACAAAGCTGCCTGCAATTTTTTCGTGTCTTAACTCTCACAGTACCTCTCTCTATGACATCCGTTGGGATTAATTGATACCGGAAAATCAAACCTGTTGGGGATACTTGACAGGAGAACTGTGAAGCACCAACCACCAATTCACTTACAAGTTACTCAGAGTTGCTGACTTCAAAAACAGGCTTCAAATGATGTCATAGGAAAGTGAATTGTCATGTAAACTGATCAGGCGCCAGTTTTTCAAAGAGTGGATAACGTTGAACACATTTATTCACTGGATAGTGATTTATCCATAAGAGAGCGTCATCCACCCTTTGAAAAAATGGCACCCGGTGTCGTGCAGATGGTCGCTAAGATTTAAATCAATGCTACAGAGGTCGTTTACACACGCTATTTCAGAAACATGCGCTCCTTAGAAACACACGCTATTTCAGAAACATGCGCACAAACATGCGTTGTTGGCCTCAAGGAAATACGAAGGAAATGACTCAGTTTACAGTAGACTTGGGATTTAAGATCGAGAAATACGAGAATTGTGCTGCGCTCTAACCACGTCCACGGCAAACTAGTTTCGCATCATTATATATAGTGCGACTTACTCTTTTATCTTTTGTATCTTGATCATGACAATAGATATCATCAGAATCACAGCAAACAGGAACAGCACAGAAAAACAAAGAAATCCAATGGCTATGTAAAGGACTGGAGAGAGAAAAACAACGTGTTAGTGACAAGATCGACTACAGCAATGGGCGTTTCCCGTAAACCAAGTCACCTGTGCAGGCGACTTAGGGCCTCCTCCCGGCAACGTTTTGATGTTTGGAAGCAACACAATTATAATCCTTTCAAGTGATATACGGTGGTTTAAGGCTCTCGGAAAACTCTTTTAATACGAATAGAAACCTCCACAAACTTCTTGTTTCTTCAATGACAGCACTAAACTTACACTCAAGTTAAAATCCCTTGATCAAGGTAATTAACTTTACTGACAGTCGCGAGATCATTCTAGGCTTGATTTCCACCGCTCTCTCGAGTCCGGTCTAAAGTTTCTCCCCGAGAAGAGAGTGTCTTCGCGGGAGGAGCGCGGGCTCTTTTCCCGAACAGCGGCTGGTAATGGAGCCTAGAGATCGTTCCGGACAAACCAGAACAAAGAGAGAGCGTATTGATGAATTCATTGTTTGAAGATAACTGAATGGCACTTGTTTGTAGTTACCTAGGCCTTGTCTAGAACGAACCGGTCATCATTGTCAGTTTAAATTTATTCAGTAATGGTGCAACTTACGAAGCTCGTTGTCCTCCAAGATTTCGTCCAGTTTGTTACATCTTGCTAACCCTGTAAAAAAAACAATAATAAAAAAAAAAACGTCGTTGCCAGCAATGCCCAAAAAATATGAAAGCGGACATTTTTTCGTCGAGGAAGTAATCGAATTAGAAGTAGTGAAGACGCATTGTCAATAGGGGGATTCATGCGGACGTCGTTGTTTACTTTTTTGTTCATTTGCGTACGGCTTTGCGTAGAGAAAGAATCATGTTATGATATGAATTGACTCAAGGCAGCTAAAGGGCTAGTGAAACTTAATACATGGTGAAATAATTAGCTCTTTGGGCGTAATATTCAAGGAGATATTGTCTTTCAAAAACTGCAAAATTTATGGGCGGCAAAATGAGCTCGTACATTCTTTGTAAAATTTTGAGTTTTCAAACCCGTGTTGCACAAAAAGTATTCAATACATCAGGCTCATATTCATTGGCAGAGTTAATCGTACTCTGACCTTTCAATATTCAGAACTTATTTATTTGTAGCTCCATCAGAAACTGAAGTGCTTATGCTAATGAGGCAAATATTGTAAACAAGGATTCCCCTATAAACAACGAAACTTATATCTTTGGATAACCATCCTTCTTCTCTAAAAAATCACCCCTCCCCCTTTACGCACTTTAAATCATGACGGTTTATGAAAGAGAACAGTGCTATTACACAGCAAATAGACATAGGAAAGGTTATTCGAGTTCAATTAATTTTCTTTATGAGACATACTTGCAGGGAATCATGGTAGTTTTATTCATCATCTTGGACTGGGTATTTGTTTTGATGAATACAACTACCATGATTCCCTGCAGGCGTGTCTCTCTGAGGAAATTGACCATATTATAGGTACCCCAGCTGATTTATAATTTGAAATACCCCCCTCTCTAAACTATTTCCTCTCCACCGACATTACCTCTTATTTTGATAAATAGAAACAGCGACGACGATCATCGTCTCTTGATAGGAATTAAATTCAAACTCTAGCATATATTGTACAGCTTTTAGGCGTATTTTTTTTTTTTTTTATCCCTCGATTTAAATGTGTCTTCTTTTGCTCTTATCTTCGGGTCTTTGGAGCCAACATTAGAATTCTAAGATACCGAAGGCTTATTAACATAAGTCCCAGTATTCCAGATTCATACGGCACACTGATTACATATCTGTCTAGCCCAGGAGTTTTTCTGTCATTATCTTCAAAGCTAATTAATCCGTAAAATCTGAACTATTTCGTCATAGCAACGGATCGGACCATATATTTTTGTCTGTTTTTGTTGCTAAATGTGGGGCCTATATATGCTAAATAGCTTCTTATGACGCAATAAGAAAATCACTGCATTGTTTTAAAGTCTGAGATCTTCTGAAGTTTTCGGTGTTTTGAAAACGAATTTATCTAGAAAATTCTTTGATTTTGACGCACTTTTAGCGGCTGAGCTTCGCGGATCTGAGCAATAATTATACCTTTAAAGTTGTTTGGAATCTGCGTTCACGATATTGAGCTTATTATATCATTGTTACTTCTATGATAAAATATTAAACATTTACACAAATAGTAACAGAAATAACAGTGAACTGCACAGCTTATAATAATGTGTTAAAATTGCAAAACATTGAAAAGTCAAGCTCGCGCAATTACAAAAGAATATTGCTTTTTGCATCTTGCCTTCTTCATTTCTTAGTAAAGACAACTCAGCTTGACTGACCTAATATCTTTTAAAAACACTTCAGGATAAAGTTTCGTACCTGTTGACGCCAAAATGAGAAATATGCTGCAAAGAAAGCGATTCTTATACCCTTCAGCCATTTGAAGCCTTCTCAAATGTCCAATGATTCGTCACGATTAAAATTTCCTTCGGTAAATTCTTCTACAGAAGGAACAGTCGTTGAGACTTAATCTTGATATCTAGTGTGGGTTACGAGCAGGCTGTTCTTGGCTATATTGCTGTTCCGAAGCTGTTCAGTTGTCTTCTCTCATTGTGAAATTATGTTTATCGAGTCTGGCTGTAAAGTCTGTGTACGAACAAAAATTTCGGACTTTCTTTCGATTCTTGGTAACTTGCGTTGTTCAAAACCCAGTCCTCTAGTCTCTTCCTTGACTCGCTGCAAGTTTCTTAATAACGTAAGGAAAGCATATAAACCGGTCGACAACTTTTCCTGTGTCAGAACTCAGCAACCGCACGTAGAAACCAGCTCAAGCATATCGGTTTTAATATAATCTAGTTTCTCGCATTTTTGTGCGTCATTCCAATACACAAAGGGTATTGTGCGGTATAGCCACATTCTTTATTAACTACCAGATCCTTGTGTTAGTGTCTTTTTCATCGAGAAATATTTGCCGCTTATTTAAAATAGGCAAAAAGCTTTAAAATCAACAGATGTTTACCGTATTTCCTTATTTTGTAGACTTCTGCTATAGTTAGTGAGAGCAGTGGTGCATGGGAAAACAAATAGACCCTATTCATAAATGGCTGCCAATTAAAGTTCTTTTGTATGCATTTAAATTAGCCCGACTACCCTCGTTTGAGAGTAAAAATTCTTTTGAATTATCAACTCAAAAACGACGTTAGTTGGGCTAATTTTAATACTTACAAAAGAATTTTTAATTGGAACCCATTTATGAATCGGGTCTTTTATAAGATTCAGGATTAACAAGTTTTATAAATTACACTCTAAAAAAATCCTTTTTGAACTTCAACTTTTCGACAAGAACACCCAGCCCCCAGCCCCCATCTCCACCCATTTCCCCGTTTTACTACCCCAGTTCCCAAGATGACAAGAAAAGACAATTTGAAACCAGGAATTAAAACTTTTATTTCGAGATAACTATGCGTCGAGGCTTATTAATACTGAATGCATAACATTTATCTTTTATTGTTTCTTTGTTTGAGATAATAAACATTTATTCAGGCCTGTCACATATTCTATACGTGCTAGTCACTGATTTGAAAGACGCCACGTCCTCCTCCCCTTAAATCCTCCTCCCCTGCTCCCCCTCAAAATTATTCCCTCGAAAAATATTGAAGAGAAATACCTGAACGTGTAACTAGAGTTTATCATCATACATCAAATTCAGACTGGGGCAAGGAAAAAAACAGGCGTCAGCAAGACAGTATACAGCATTCACTCAATTTTTTTTTAGCATTTGAAATGTAGCTTAATTTGGACAGGATGTAAACATAAAAAATGTCATTTAACTTGAGTAGGAGCAGTACACGGCTCCTCAGAGCTCTTTGCCTCTTGATTGCGTACTGGGAACTTGGTAAATTTAAACTTTGGTTCTTCCTCTTTTCGTGGGCTCTGCAATGCAAGTAATGGACGTATCTAAGAAATCAGTCTACTAATAACACTGCAATCAAACATAAGTCTACAGTTATTAAACTCCCACAGTTTTGACCTTTATTTTTAGCCAAACAATTGAATAGTGATTACAATGGCCAGTTCCGCTCTAAGAGACGCGCCTGCAGGGAATCATGGTAGTTGTATTCATCATCTTGGACTGGATATGTGTTTTGATAAATTAACTATTATTATTATTATTATTATTATTATTATTATTATTATTGATGAACACAACTGCCATGATTCCCTGCTGGCGTGTCTCACAGAGGAAAATAGGCCAATTTCGATATATTAAAATTCATCCTAAAACAATAGACCTCAGCACGAGGCTCCGGTGAATAACTACAGAGTTTGTGGGGTTTACAACCTAGAGCTTCATTCTGAGGTCTACTGTTTTAGGCTGAATTTTAACATATCGAAATTGGTCTATTGTCTACTGAAGCTGGATACTTATTTAACTGTCTCAAAAATTCTTTTGTGTGTGTAACTAGAGGACCAAAGGTGAATGAAAGTCGCATTAATATCTTTCATAACGTTAAACAGGGAGCAAAGGTTTTACATGCAAATGGATAGAGTAAACTTTTCTTGGTTGGAAAGCTTAAGGATAAAAGACCCCCCCCCCCCATAAAACAGCAAAAACGCTCATGATAAAGTACCGCGGTTTTCAATGGAATGGGCATTTCTTCTTGCCGCCTCACTTTGGTGTCACCTGTGGGAGTCGACCCAGGAACAGACCCATGATCTTTGGATAAGTTGATTTCATACACCGCGCGACTGTGGCCAATCCTGGGAATAGAAATGGATTATTCACCTCACGTGAGAAATAAAATACGTATTCGAGGGTGAGCACATATATAGCACTATACTGATTAAATGTTGCTTAGTAACGAGACGTATCTTATGGACCTTTAAATTGACATTACAGCTTTTGGATTGCTCTTACTATTTCTGTTACGTTATATAATGTGGACTCCTGTTGAACGACATAAATGAAAGAAGACTTTTAAAGAAATATATAAAGTGCTCAAAGCTAGAAAGTTGAAGGATGGGTCAAAAGATTAAGGGTGGGAGTTAGATGATTTTGTGTTTTGTTTAGTGTTATTGGTCAAATCGGACCAGATGTGAGAGTACAAGAAAATGAAAGATTCTGTAGTATCACTCTGTAATACTGACGTGAAAGGTTATGTAGTGTACAGAGGTTCAACCCTCTGAAATACTGTGACATACAAACATAATGGCCTGGTGAACAGAACTCGATTCAGCGACCTTAGGTGGAAGTATAAAAATCTCTAGATATTTTTAATGGATTCAATTTTAAGATGATATCTCCATCCACTTGTAGTTTTAGATTTGAAGAGTTCGTGCACTTGCTTTTTCAATTTTTTACTGTAGATTTTCTAGCTATAGTTTTACCATAGATCAGTTAGTTTTAGTACATACGACTCCACAAGCTGTTACGTTTAATTCTGATCGCTTTAAAATAAAGGTTGTCTATCTATTTATCATATGGTACTGGATAATGATGTCAATGATAGTAATGGTCGTAATAACGCCATATCAAGGATGTCTGACTAGTACTCTACTTCACCTCTTGTCGACTTCGGTACGAGGTAAAAGGAAGGAAAAATATGGAGTTGATGTTATCTGTCTGTCAATAGCCTGTGTAGCAGGCGCTCGAGTAATATTAGGGAGCTTAGGAAAAGCGCAACGGCAACGGTTACCTGCGGGAAAGTCACTAATAAACAAAAGATCTACTGAATAAGCAGAACTGCGCACTTGCGTGTTCCGCTCTCTGCCAAGCAACAATTCAACGAGACATGACCAAATCAGTTCTCCCTAGGCTATACGTGAGTGCTCCTTTGTGATATTGAGACATTTATAATGCTATAATTACTTTTCATCTGGACTTACTTTTTCATCATTTTGTAAAAGGCTTGCTTCCAGTTTGCCCTTGGTCCTTAGTTGACGGCTCACCGGGAAGGTATGTACGAAGTGTACAATGTATGGTGAGTATTTGCACGGTGTCGCGGTCAATACCAGTTTGATGCAGCACTTGTTTAGTTTTCACTGTCAGTGGTACAGTAATCCAAGTTTACCGGTTTTCCTTTGTACTGAAATAAAAAGTGAGTGGCACGGTCAAAAACCGCTCTATGGCACACCTTCCATATAGCGACACAGAACCGTTGTCCTTGATAGCCCACAAACGCTACAAGTTTCATCCCCACAGGGTAAAAGACACTTGCAAATATGCTGGTATGTAGGTGATAACGTTTTTAGTTGTTCTACCAAGGGAGGTTTTCCGTATTACTGCAGTTTATAAAACTAAAAACAAAGGGATTCATCACATTTAACCAATCAATACGCATCCAAATACCGCAGAACACCGATTGCAACTCGCATCGGATTTTTACACGGACACTGCGTGCTTTTCGAGATAGCAGACTGAGCCCTTTTGGAAAGTTCTACTGTATTTAAGAAGCTTTTCGAGACGTTTATGCAGGACATGAAGTTCTACATGACAGCTGAATTGCAGCGCAAAGGCATTGTTCATGTTAAGCGCCGAATTCCTTTGTAGTCGACACCATTACAAGGAAATATACCGTTCAAGTTTCACTGCAGCCCCATAGAGGTACTTTTTACCAGCTCGAGCACAATCAAATTAACAAACTCACCTTTAACCAAAGGTTCAAGATCGCCCTAAGCGCCAACTGTATTGATGAACAGTTGATCCATTGGTGCAAAATTATGAATCTTTTACTTATCAAGTTGGATTAATTAAAGTCACAGTTGTTTTGTTTGCTTTGGTTTTGAAATGTTTGATTAGGTTAATGCTGTGACAAAATTATAATTAACTCCTTACGTAGGTAATAACTAACTTCAGATTAACTGTAGCCTGCGTAGTAGACCTTTCCTTTTCATTTCCCAGGCGGGGGATCGAATTAGCGAGCGACTTGCCCCACCCCCTCCCCCTGCCCCCTCATATTTTTTCGCGCTCGCTCGCGGTTTAATTCCTTTTGCGTGCATTTGAAAATAAAGGCCGGCTACGCAGGCTAGATTAATTAACTGGGCTAGTAAGTATCCACTAAATTCTTAATACGTGCTCAAGATTTGCTCGAGATTGATTAGTCCCCCTCCCCCATCCCCCACAAAAGGCAGTCCATTCCAAGATTCGTACTCAGTTGTGGTCTGAAAGCTTTGCTTCCACCATAGCCTCCTGAGCAGACATTCTTATGGTTATATTCACGCAATCTTCGTTACCCAGATTGAATGAACATGGGGTGGAAACAATGCGTGACTCGACTAACCATAAGGACGTCCGCGTGCGCGTAGGAGGCTATGCTTGCACCTCCTGATCAAAAGATTAGTCAGAAAGGTCATTCATCCAGACCGCTATTACAATCCCGCTGTTCTTCCAACAACGTCCTTTAGCCTAGGCCGTAGCCAGAAAAAGAAAAAAATTATGACTGAGGCATGATGTCCACGGTTACTGATCGAGAAAAAAATATGAATGAGACAATGTCCATGGTTAAATTCCCTTCCTAGGTCAGTAAGTGTGTTTATGATGACTACAACAACACTGGGATTCCGCAAAAAATATGACTAAGACAAGTGCTTGTTACTAGCTACAGTCCTACATCCTTTCAGTCCACTCCTAATTTCATCAAGTGTCTTGATATTCAATTTCTTTCCTTCTTTCCATGATGGATAAAAAAGTAAGTCCTCATTAAAACGTCTAGTAATTCATTCGCAGACTGTGCTTCTTTAATGTGGCTATGTTTAACAAATCCATAAGAAACTTCCGAAAGAAAATAGATGCTAGGAATTACCGCACACAAAATAGTTCTTTTAGCCAGAGGAAAACTAAGCTACCGTGTTGTCTCTTCAAAAGAGTAATTAAAAACGCTGAAAAAATGAAAATATCGAAAGTTAATACAATATGACAGATCATTCTCTCTTGACAAATCTGAATCATTGCCGAAAAGCGTGACACTATGACGAATAGACTTGAATAGGCTATGTCATAAAAAGATGACTGATTTTCGAAATCCTATTTTCAGACCTGACCGAAAAATCAATAGCCCATTTCAGACCTCTAAAACTATTATATGCTTCTCTTATACCTGACATACATCATGCCTTAGTGGGTCCTTGGTTAATTAAGAATGGATTTGGGTAACAATGCGTCAAACATATCGGAAGGGCTCGAAATCACTCGATTTTAATGGGAAATGTAGTTTCATTGAATGATTAAGTGATTTCTATGCCCTATTTCAAACTAAAACAGCTCAAAGCCATATACCTTTTGAAGCCGCTGAGATCGATCCATGTTTTGCGACGGAGTGCCCACGGGTTATCTATAGCTCCCTTATCAGGTGACAAATTGTTCTGAGGAATGTTCTGTTATCCTGACCTCAGCGCTAGAACAAAACAAGAGATTTACTAATCCTAACGAATTATGCATTGGAAAATCATTGCTCTTCTGGCTCTGATCACAGGAACTGAATTCGTTCATGGACAGGACAATGGAATCTTCGATGCCGAGTTTTCCTTCGTAGGCATGCTGATAATTGTGTTATTTTGCTTTGGTGGCGTTTACCTGTGTCTGTATTTTACCTGCTGCCATGAATATCTGTGCACCGCTGAGGGCGATGTGGGATGTTGTGGAGATCTTAGAAATGGAGAATTGAAAGCTAACGGCAAGGAAAATGGAAATGCAACAATGGATTCTTCACAGATAGTGCAAGTTTGAAGAGGCGCGTATGACAAAATATGAGGAAAACTGTAACAACGAATAATTCTTCTCTAAAACTCAAGCCGGCTATACCGCTCAAATGGCTGCAAGAGAACTAACAAAATAAAGCTGTGACGAGAGTTATCTATAACATGTATCGCTGCGTTAAATTTAAATACCTTTAGCAGCAATAAGATGCGAATGAAGAAGCTAAAGAACTCTCTAATCTTTGAAACGTTTACATGAACAATGGAACAAGATGGCAGATGTTTATTTTTTTTCACAAACTCGACGATGAAAGGTATTTTGTTTTTGTGATTTGTTACTTACAAAGTGATCTTAGTCGCGTCGAGTAAAATGGCAACTAATTGATTTACAAAGCTATAAAAAACACAAATGAAGTACTACGGTGGCAAATGGAAGCCGCAACGGGATGTGTCAAAATGAGAAAAGATCGGAAGTGCATTATCCTTAACATGGACTTAGTTAATTGAGTAATGAACTTCTGGAAAGCCCAAATCGGACTACAAAAGGACAGAAAAGTAAATAATAGATGTTTAGTTAATTTGTACTGATGAATAGAGCATGGTCTGCGGAGCCTGAGTAAACAGCATTCGTGTTATCTATCGTAAAAGTTTACTTAAGCTTACTAGCGACACTCATTCACGGCAGACTAGGTATGGCAACTTCAATATTGCTCGCCCTGTTATCAAACGTAAAATTGAAGGAGGAAGAACATTTACTGTGACTGCCTGTCAAGCCTGGAACGGCTTACCGCTATCAATGCGGAAAATAGCGTCGCTTAATTCTTTTAGGAACTCTCTTTGGAAAAAATTTTTTGAAGAACAGCAGCTTTTAAATCATTTTATTCTGTGATTTAGTTATACTTTTTGTATTTTTAATTGATTTTATATCTTATCTATTGTATTTTTATTCGTTATATTATGTTATATCATAGTTATGGCATAGTTTTAACATACGTATCGTACATAACTTTTAGAGGGCCACTGGTTTGTTGGTATTTTTATACTATTTTAGTGCTACCCTCTTTAAATAAAGTCTTTACTTACTTACTTACTTACTATTTGTTGGCTGAGAAGGTATCAGCAAATGAGTATTTCATGTCGTATTTTTAATTTGAAGTTCAAATTAGAATTAAGAAGACACTGAAATGAAATTTCCAAACCTAGAGAGATATTTGACCTTGAGCTTACGATTGAAAAAGGCACTGTTGCTAATGAAATGTCAGCCACTACAAGGAATGAACAAAAATGGCGTCTGTGATATTTATTGTGGTACAATCCACGTCAATCACCGATGGATCTTCTCATCACTCAGAATCCCGGACAAATGTAATTGGGACATTTAAGCTGGATGAAATATCCCCCATTTCCCCTAACCTATGTCAGGGACAAAATAACCGATTTTCAACATTGTAGGGGGAGGGGTGAGGGGGAACTATACATGTTCCAGAATGTAGAGCTTGCAAATGATATTAATTGTTATGAGCGAGCTGTTGTTGTAAATATTTCTAGAAGATAACTTGCCTGCATTAAAAATTAGCATTGATTAATTGTTAATTAGTTACTTATTATTTAATTAATTAATTGAGTTGTACATAGAATTTTTTAAATTAATTTAATTTTTTAATTAATGGTTCCTTTATTTATTCCGAAAAGCCCTTTTGGGACGAATAAAGTATGTATGTTTGTATCCCATCTAACATATTTAGGGGAATGCAGCAGTCAGAGGCACTTAATCAGATCCTACAGAAACCAGCGTAAAAGATCCAATAGTTTTCTAACTGTTACTTGTGTGCGTTTATGTGATACATTTTAGATCACTTACATCCATTTTCAATACTCGTGTTTCCAATGTTTTCCAACCCAAATAGTCTCACTCTTTTACCAAGTGAATATCTCCGGGTAGAATAAGACTCGACCCCAGCCGTCTGTCTATAGTCATACAGGAGCGGCGCGCGAAGGGAAGGAGAAGAAACCGGAGAGTCTCCACTTTCCCTTCCCATCACTTCCCGCGCTCCTAAAACGCGCATGCGTCTCCTGAAAGACATGCAAGGACGAGAATCTAATTTGATCAGAAGCTTGATTTTCACAGAAATTTTGCAAAAAAACTACGCATGTACAACACGGATTTGCTGCAATATATGCAATAAAATGCATGCAAGCACGCTTTGTTTTAACATGGTGTAGGTTTAAAAGGCTCGGCCAAATTAAGCTATTCAACTGACCAAAAACATGGTTTGAAATCTGCATACAAAGGTAGCGTCAACATTTGATAACATATAAAACTCCGCAACCTAAAAAGGCAACAGTTGGTTTTAGGCTATATAGTCCAGTCGACTCTGAATCAAATTAGAACAGAACAAAGGCCAGGGCTTTTGGATGGAACGATGATAAATAAGCTTTAGCGGTTTTTAAATTGATTGTCGTGAAACCTAAACCGAAGTTATGAATTTGGCCAATCACGCACGCGTTACCCGGACAATCAAGTGAACCAAACAAAAGTGAAGTAAATACCTGCAGTCGGTACGAAGCGCTCGTGAGAGAAAGCGCAATAGACCCTTTGCAAGATCCGGTCACATGGTACGGAATAAATTATGCTGGGACGCAAGTTACACAGTAGGACCTCTAAAACAAAGGAAAGTCGTGCCGGACTGGTACGAGTTCCTTTGTTTTGGAAGTCCCACTGTGTAACTTGCGTCCAGCATAATTTATTCCGTACCATGTGACCGGATCCTGCAAAGGGCCTATTGGTTTTGGTTTTACAATTGAACCCTACTAATTCCAATTCTGTTATTTCGAATTCCCCATTATTTCGAACTCAGGATTATTTTCCTTTGATTTGCCCTTCAACCTTTCACTATCGGCTATTTCGAACTCTCGTTATTTCCAGCTAATTTTCATTTCCCCTGAGATTACGAAATAGCGGGGTTCAACTGTACAACTGATTCGATGAAAAAATGGTGCAGTTTTTAAAAAAGCCAAACCAAGTCCAGACAATCAAGTGGAAGCGTTATTGCAAAGTAAATAAAAGTGAATGCTTTCTCTGATTCCATCTCCGTTTTTATTTAGTTAAAAAAATGTTTGATTATGTCAAATTAATATTTAGTGTACTTGCTAACGCTTCATAAACTTGTTAAAATCGTGAACTAAATTTTACGAAGAGCCTCTTCGACTTTCCGCGATTGAGTTGTTAATGAACATGGCCTCACGGTACCGGCTCTCTGAGTAAATCTGCTGTGTGCCGTAAGTCGGGGGAAATTCTGAAATGCATGGTACGTCGTCTTTGTAAGGTTAGTATAAGCCCCTACAGAGAAACAACACAGTGGGTTTAAGTCAGGTATAGCTTGCAAATAGGGAAGGATTGGAAGATCTACTGCAATTTTCTAGTGGCATGCAGGTAAGCTGGCAAGTAGGCAAACAATTAATAACTTGAAACTTACCAAATCTCCTTGTCACTGTTGCCGTTTAGATTATCAAAAATTGCAACTGGGCTGGATTTTCCAGCCGGAACGAGAGCAGAAAGGGCGCGAGCTCCAGAAACACGGCGTGCACGAGGGATGTGCTACAAAGAGAAATATCAGAGCTGTAAGAATTGTACGAGACCAAGGCTTTTGTCCTTGGTATTGAGATTTAGACCCTGTCCACACCACGTCGGAGAAATTTGAAAAAGCAACTTAATGTCTACGGTTATTCCTAACTTCCACACTAATCTGTCACGAAAACGGAACTTTTTGAAAACGCTCTTCAAAGCGGCGGAATTTGAAAACGTCAGCTTTGCGTTTTAATGTGGACAGAAAACGTTTTGAAAACGGAGCTTTTCTAAAACGATGAAGTCACAATAATCATGAGATTTTCCTGCTCGAGTCCTCCTCAAGCACAATTCCAGATGAACGGTGATTGTTGCGTTTTCAAATTTCTCTGGCGTAGTGTGGACGAGACACATCTGACGTGTTTTCCGAGTGAAAAGGCCGTTTTCATATTTCTCCGGCGTAATGTGGACGGGGCTTGCGCGCATTTACGCGTTTAGCATTGCTTCTCTATTTTTGTCCTAAATAATGATCATATTTGAATCTTAGAAAAAATATAAGTGATCTATGTATCTATATATTTAGATAAATTGTTCTGTCGGTGAGAGTATTTTAATTTATATAGTCGTAAATATCTCAAAAGGTAGCCCTTTGTATACATAAGCCTTATTGACTTCCCTGGACTTCCTTGCCTCATAGATTTGATATCTATGAGAACATTTAAATTAATGTGTGGCAAAATAACAATAACCTGAATCTTAAAAATGGCGAACTACGTTTTTTAATATTGTTAGCTTTGTGGCTAACAAGAAACTCCAGTAGGCAAAGTCTGCATACGAGCCAAGCGGCCCATCAGGCCGGAGCTTGTCCCGGTTTTCGTAGCATAAAGCGACCAGGAATGTTTTTTTCTCCCTCTGGATGGGATGCGAATATATCCATCGCAGGGTTACTCCCAGCATTAAGTTCGCCGGTATGTACCCATTTATACACCTGGGTGGATAGAGACACTGTGAGAACAAAGTATGTGTCCCAAGAACACAACACAATGTTCCCAGCCAGGGCTCGAACCCGGACCGTTCAATCCGGAGACGAGCGCACCACCGCACCTCCGGAAACTTCAGTGCTAATGAAATAAAACTCAAAAGTGATTTAGTGCACAATTTTAATTCACAATCGTACATGTGTACGTTCAAATCAGACTGATCTTTTATTTCTATAAAATGAACAAGTAACGTTGTCTTCCACTTTTCGAGACTGTTTTGAGGTTAAAGTTTTGAGGCTACCGGGTAGAAGTCTTTCACTGTTCGTGATCAGTTCACTGCGACTGTATGATTGATTTTAGAGCGGTTAGAAAGAAGAAAAACGGTAAATTCATTCGTTATCAAGAGGTAGTTTTTACCATATTCGGTTCCTCTGTCTCTTCCCGTGCTCTTTCCTGTGCAGAATAATGTCCGGGGTAAGTGGAATACATCGTGTATGACGCCCCTCTATTGTGTAAACCTACTATGTCCAGTCTGAAACAAACAAAAACAAAAACATCTTGGTTAGACTAGATTACTAGATTATCCCTCGGGTGGAGGGGTGGGGGATCGGGGATGGGAGGGGGACTTCTTACATGGCCCTGACGGGGATGCATGTACGAGGGAAACAAATACCGGGCTTTTTGTTTTGGTGTCAAATTTCAATCTCCCTCAGCTCCACCCCCTTTTGCGATCATGATGATTACATGGTATTTATCTCCTTAAATGGCTCAAGTGACTTGATCTTATGATCTACCGCATCCAACAGCAGGCAGGGATACATAAAACTAAACCTGAACAAGTAAAAAGGGATTGATGTCCTTCAAAGCCTAATGGCTCAAGTGACTACTTAAATGGTTCAAGTGACCCGTGATTTTATAACCCTACCAAATTGAACAAAAGACAGGAATACATAGAACTAAACCAGTACAAGTAAAAGGGGCTTGACGCCTTTGAAAAGGCCGAATAGGTCAAGTGACTTGATTTTATAATCCCACCGAATTCAGTTGAAGACAGAGACACATGGAACTAAACCTTTACACGTAAGAAGGGGCTAGATGCCCTTGAAAACCTGTAAGAGGTATAACAGATCTAGGGCAAAGGGACTGCTGACCAATGGTGGGTTGACTGTTTTGAACTGTGCTTTATAGATAAAGGAACTAATAAGGTAGTGAGGAGGAAAAGGAAAGAAAAAAGCGAGAATGAATGAAAATGGAAATGTTTTCATTATTTATTTGGGTGTATCATTGGGGAACTTTTTTCTGCCTTATTAGTTTGGGACAAACCCGGAGGAATCTCTATATAAAGGTATTTAGGATGGTCGTGAGACATTTTGGAGACAGTTCCAAAATTAAAGGTATCTGAATCTACATTAATAGTCAGTTCAGTTCAGTTTACGTCTGGTTCATGTTTATATATTTTGTACCTCAAGAGTCACCAGAGATAATATTTATATAGGGTTAACTGTAATGCATGCGCAAGGACCACTTGTACAAACAGCAGCGCAGTGAAGCTGGATCTTGGTTTAGATCAGGATCAGCAGTGTAAAATAAAACATAAAACCAATTGAAAGGCTGACCAGACGGCTGACAAGGGTAAATTTAATGCGCAATATTTCGGTTAGACAGGACTAACCTTCTTCAGGGGCTAAACTGAAGCTAAGTAGATATGAACCTTTTTCAGCCGTCTGGTCAGCCTTTCAATTGGTTTCATGCATAATATTTATATACCAGCAGAGGTTTCGCCTTATAAACATTTAATACCAACAGTTATAATCAGAGTATACTAAGTGTTACCAAATCACGATTTTTACAAAGACCCGTGAAAGGTAAGCAGAGCATTCCTCGATCTAAGTCAATGCCTCTTAGACATAGGCCCGGCCAGGTGGGTTAGTGGGATGCCAATAAACCGGATTCCCCCCCACCCCCTTACGGACTTACGGCACGGAAGGCTCTCCCAGTTTAGCTGAGAAAATGAAATGACAGTCTCACCTTTTTTGTACCTTGTTAAGCCTTTGTGCCAGACAGACAATGATAATACATTGAATGAAGAAAACTACGCACAATGCGATGAGTACAGCGATGACGACTGCAAGAGAAGCAGTTCAGGTTATTAACATCGGAGTTAGTTACATTCAAATACTTTTCTGTGGTGTCAAGCAGACAACAATTTTCACACTCACGTATTTCGATCGTCTTGCTACAACATATCAGTGTACCGCCAGAACAACACTCAGCTGAAACTAAAAAATAACAGTAATAACAATAATGAAATGAGAATATCAATTACGCTCTTATTCCAGTGAAAACAAAAAAAGACAATGGATCTTTGCTCACGTGACTTTCTTAATATGCATAAATTTACTAGAATGCTAATGAAAATGCTGCAATCTGATTGGCTGAGCCTTTGTACATTATCAGCCATTGGTGTGCAATAGTTCAGAGTTGCCACATGGCATTGGCAACGGTTTCTAGTTTCTTCGATTTTTCGGAGGAAACTGTAGAAATATTACTGGATTATTAAATTATCTGTAAAAAAACGAAAATTGACCGTTGTGCGACTTTAAAACCTCAGAATTGTTCAATGAACTGATGAACGCGTGAAAACAGCTGCAAGTTTCTAACAACAGTTCAATCCACATGCAATATATTTTGCTTAAGCGTGAAGTAGTACTAATAAGAGAAATTTGGTCAGAATTCCACTCTCTGCGGCCTTATCAATTATGGTTTCCACGAACGCACAAGCATAAGCATAATTAAGCAACATGCGAAGACGTATTAGAGTGATGTTAAGTGGTGCCTTTTTTTAAAAAGTTTTTCAAACAAAAGGTGCTTATTATCAACTTCTAACTTCGTCTGCGTATAATGCTGCGCTAGTGAAATCGTTGACACGGGAATATGTTAAAAAAAAAAATCCACATTATTTGTCGTTTACGGCAGCCGGCCAGACACATCAATTTTAAGAGGGCTCTGCACGTGGAGTAGCCCAGCTAGCGAAATCAAGTAGCAGTCCAAGCCACAGTAACTTGAAGATAAAGCGTTTTACGAAGTTATCCGCCAAGTGTCCGAATCATTTCCGAATATCGCCGAAAATTAACGAATGTAACGTTTTTGAAATGAATACGCCCCGTTAATCTTCCTACATTGTTTAATTTATTTGCTACTAAGTTTTAATCTTGAGTATCTTAAGATTTCCAGGTTTGGCAGAGTCAAAGTCATAGAATATCGATAAATATGAACATGACGCCATTTTGTACGCCATTTTGTATGAATAACAAGCCACTACGTATCAAATTCACTGACAATAAACAACATCATATAAAGCTGTTTGTGAGAGATTCATTGCTGGACAGACCACATAAGTGAAACTACTTCCAGAATGATACATAATTAAGTTTATATCGTGAAACTCTCGTCTTTGGATGAAAGCTACCTGTGAAATGCATATTAATATTTGTATTCTCTCTCTCGGCTTGGAAATGATTAACTTACCTTCATCGCATAAACTAAGGAATAACAAATAAGCGACAAAAATGGCTTTGGAGTTCAGCTGCATAGTTATTAGTTGTCAATCGGAAATCCTGATTGTGTGCCACAACGTCAGAAATTTCACTTGAAGGCCTTCAAATGCAGTATGTGCTTAAACATTAGGTTACACCGACAAAATTTTGCATCGAAATTCAGAGTTCTTTTTTGGAGGAGTAATGAGGTTCTGCATGACTTTTCAAGCATGATATTTTTCTCCCCTATGGATTAAAATGAGCACAATGGACATCAGGGAAGCGTGGAAAAAACAGAAAGAGCTGGAAAGAATGAAAACAATCTCTCAGTTGCTGGGGTTTTTTACGAACGTCATGTTGCAAACTTTAGTATTTTATCCAAAACTGATGTAGACATGTATAGCAGCAGTGTTTGAACAGCGACAGCTTATACATGGAATCGTTAATGAAAGAAAATTGACGGACTAATTTTGAACAGAAACAATGCAGTTACAATGAAGCAATATATTGTTTTCCAAATGTTGTTTTCTCCAACTTAAAGCCTGTTTATAATAAACGACCATAACATTTCTTGTTAGCTAACGTATTTTTTTGAGGAAAATAAATAGATACGAATTTGTCTTTTAAAGCTAACCAGTGCTAAGGTGTCACCTTGTGCAATCTACCCGCGGGCATGAACTAAGTCAAGTATAGACCTGTAGGTGGATAAATCTGGTATCATGCTGATCGTTACTCCAGTTTTGACTATTTAATCTATCGTTTAGAATGTTCTAGAACAAAGGTGTATTCCATATTTTCATCATTAAAATCCACATCTATATTTGTACAAGAATTGGATATTAATTAACATTGCTTATCTACTGCCTGTCACTTTACGATCGTATTTACATAAATATTCTATGCAGGCTTTATTTGCCACTGGTGTTTCGAATCTATTGTCCGCATGACATAAAACCAATGGACCCTTTCTAAATCTAATCTCTTCATGCAAGAATGGAACTGGGCACGAGGCCTATTCATAACTGTACGAAAATGACTGCACGGAGGAGAGGGGCTAGGTGTGGTGAGGGGTGGGGGGTGGGGGAGTTACTTGGGAATGGAACTAGGCACGAGGCCTATTTATAACTGTACTAAAATGACTGCCCTGAGGCGGGGGTTAACTTGGGAAATTTTTTGCAGGACATGTGCCGCTGGCCTCTTAGAACCCCTACCCATTATAGTCTATTCATGTCGGTGGCTAATTATAGACCCCATCTTAGTCACTTTTGGGCAAACGAAAATTTTAATTTAGTCAATCTCTGTTTACGCATCTACGTTACAACGCGTTAACGAAATGACACATTTGTTAAACTGAATATAGAACGGTAAGGCACAATTATTCCCATTTTAAAATCCCTACTCGTCAGAACTCTCTTAGTCCAAAAATTCCGAAAATGTGCAACTCCATTCAAGTAACTCTATTGAAAATGCAATCTCATGACAGTCAATCCAGTCGTGAAAATGACGGTACTTAAGAAACCATAATCAACAGAGAGGTCATGAGATAAACGACGGATCAGAAACAAGGGCGTTGTTTTTAGATAAAATTAAAGATTTGGGAACAGACAACTCTTTCGCTCTCTTTAAATAATAAAATTGAGTGAAATTTTTTTGTAGTACACAAAATCAAACCCTATGTTTCTCAGAGGTAACGTTTTGCTTAACTAAGCTAATTACTCCTACGTCATGTATCATAACGTGATAGAAAAGTTAGTAGAAATTCTGTCTTTTCAAATCTCAAGCAGTTTAAGACCCACGCATGGAGGCTAGATCTAGGCAACATCCTAGATGGATGTAGTGGCTGCCATCTTTGTAACTCATAATTTTAATTTCTCTAATAGGACTTTTCTGTATATTATATTTAGATAGTTCTAGTTAGGTGCCCACCTATTAGCAGTGGGGATTCTCCACTGCTAGATGTAATTGACACGATAACAAAGCCATTATTATTATCATCATCATCATCATCATCATCATCATCATCATCATTATCATTATTGCCTTAATAACGCCCGCCCCCTAACCCGACCGTGTTCTTTCTCACATCTAACTAGCATCATCGTTCCTTTTTCGGTTTGTTAGTACTTCTATAATGTTTTTTTGATGAAGTCCATGTCAAACTTAAAGGAACTATGACTGATCGTGTAGAAACAGTTTTCGATGAAATAGTGTGCAAATTTGGCGCGAAAAACCAAACGACAATTTTGTCGAGAAGGAGGTAACCTTTCGGTTGAAGCTAAAGCGTGTGGTTCTCTACGACAGATGAGATAAGATAAGATAAGAACTTTCTTAGTCTTATGCCTACTCCAATGTGAATTTTCTGACCATCTTACAATCCTTATACTTGATATGAACGCTTGTCAGACCTATTTTAATTAGACTTCATTGTCTTTATATGAGTTCTTTAATGGTATGTTTACATGGTATGTTTTTCCTCCACAATGTTGGTTCGCTTGACTTTATGATGTTCGTTTTTTAAGGGACATAGTCACACTGGAAACTGCCCAAGAACTGATGGTTGTAAAACTCCATCATAGACTACGTTGCTTCGTCGTTGAGCGTTCACACTCCGACAACTCCTTCTCTAAAATCATCTCGTGGATTGTCTTGCACGGCGTCGATGCTCTGTGGAGTTGCATGCATTTCATTCACCGCCATATCATAAGAGGGCAAGAATGGAAATTGGTAACGCCAGGGCAAATCAGGTTCCTCCGTTACTGGTCGATACCTGCAGAGCGAAAGAAAAATTCTTCTGAATGGTTACAAATTTTGGCTTAGAGAGTTTAAAAACTTTCTAAAATTACTACTTTGTAATTTCACATGTGATATTATAAATTTAGGCTGAAATTTCGCTCCAAAAATAAGGAGAATAATTATTTTCCTTGCATTTTGGGAAAATCGTCTCACATCTACCGCTCCTTCATTTCAATGTCATGCCAGGTCAGGCCATGTAACGTTATCTCATTCTCATTTCCTTTCGTCTCTTCTGTTGTGATTTAGTCTAGTAAACACATGGCATAAAAATACGTGTTTATTTTTAAAGACAGCGAGTGCGATGCGAAGGATGAATGTACGGATGTATGTTGGATGTACGTTACATTGGATGCGCGTGCGCATCCAGTGTAATAGGCATGCGCATGCTCAGATGTGTTAGTATCACATGACAAACTATGCCATCTCCATGTTTGATGAGTAAATCTACACTCGGGCACTACTTCATGAAATGACTTCAAAATACTCACCCAAACACGACAGACCACCCTTTACATGCAAACAGAATGAATACCATGAACTGAATGACTAAGAAAAGTCCTAGCACGACCAAAAGAGTGAAACCAGCTGAAAAAAGTAAAGAAAAACATGTTAGGCTTTTATGTGCTAATGCACACTTACGACAAGCTAACAAGAAAGGTGGAGACATATGACACGTTAGGTAGCATTGTCACTGACCAAAGTTTGCAAGGAATAAATTATCCGTCTGTGGCGAATTAGCCCTCTGAGACGGGTAATTCGTCTGCCTGTGAGGGATAAATTATCTCAGATGGATAAATCGTCTCCTAATACAAATTCGGCGTCGGATAATTTGTCTCTAATATAAATTCGGCCATTATTTGATAGAAAACGCTTAGCTTGAGTGGAGAGAAAAAGCAGTGGACAAAAATTAATTACGGTCACAGTATATGATCCCAAGCCATTTCCCTCGATGATACACAAAGGGTTGGTCAGCATTTCTAGGAGATTTAGGCTTGGTCTGTTCATTTCTTTATTTTTCCATTTGCCTACTGGCAAGCTACGCCCCCTAGCCAACTCTAGCCTACTCTGGATTCGAAAGATTAAGCCACCATAATTTTGAGCAAATTCAGGCGACTTTACACGATTTAATGGTGTTTAGGGCAATTTCAGGTCTTAGAGTATGTAGACCTTATTAATGTGGGAATTAAAAGTTGAACATCATAAACAACAACAAACGTTCTAGCACGCAGTCCTAGTGAATGTTACACTGTTCAATATACGTAGAACTTTTTTTTTTCACGACTCAGACCCATCATACAGAAATTCCCTAGTTAGGGTATGATCGTGAAAGATGAGTACATTATAAGACTTACTAGCTCCGTTGTTTTCTTCCTTGTTGAGATTTGCATTTGGACCCTAATACACACAAAAAAATTCAGTTATGGAATGGCTTCGTTTTTATTGTAATGGTGTAAGAACTTCAGGTGATTCCACCATTCAGTTTGAAGGGCTTGGTAAGCAAATCTGTCACTTTCAAATATGAACGTGCAACGGACAACAGTCTTTTTCGTCGCCTTGCTTTCTACGTCAAACTGTAAAAACTTTCCATGGTGCGTGATAGTTATATCGTAACAGTTTCAGATGCGTAAAATGCATGAAGTCATTTATTATCGCTTTGTTACTGTAGGGAGCGATAATGGTAATCTAGTACGGGGTAGGGGATTTAAGACAAGAAGGGATTAAGAAGCGACAAGAGTGACGTGCACAACGCGGGCAAGAAGAAAAACCATGAAAAACATCGTCTCGCTTCAATCCCTTCTCACTCATACCCCTATTTTGCACTCGCGTTCGCGAGGATAAACAATCGTAGGACCTATGAGACTGAAAAGCCGACTAAGTGCAGTTTATAACTGAACCTACTCCGTCAAATACAATTAATATTACCAGTAAAGATAAATAATCTACTTTTTGATAAGCAATTGCAACTTAATTACATGTGAGGCCCTTTCCATTAGTCCAAAAAGAAATTGAGAGAGTATTTTCTTCTGTGATTAAAAAGAACGCTCCAGACGTGAAGTCTGGCGAAGGTAGACTCAAGTCAAATACATAAGGTATTTCTTAAATATTATGGGAATTTCCCTACCTATGGCGCAAATGCTGCAAGACGAGGCAAGTTAATGTTTGCGTTGCAACTTCAGACTTTTTTAAAATAATAATAGACTAAACTCACTTCACCATTAAAAAAAAAAATAAAAAAAAAAAATAAAATAGAATAACGGCTAGGAAAAGTCAACTAGATCGACCATCGAGGAGACCCTCTCAGTTATATATAAATAAAATTCAAACGAAGTTCAACTGATCTGTCTAACACGAGGTCCTAGCGAATTTTACAAGGCTTCAGTCTACGTAGAAATGCATTTTGTTTTCGCCGAAGCATGATGATGTTTTGCGAGATCAATTTCAAGGAAATTATTTATCCCAAATTAGGAACAGGGTATCCGTAAAATGTTCAAAGGGTAAACTATTTAAAAAGTAAAAGAATATGATTTACTCTGGCAGAATGAAAGAACCCTAAAATAGCATGATGTCAGCGTGTCTGTCAATCATCAAATATGAATGGTTTGTTAGTTATGTTTTTGAAATAAAATGTTAGAGAGCTATGCGATATATGCCCTTCTCCCTAAAAATGATGTAGCTTGTGAGGCTTGTAACGTAACCAAAGGCAACTTTGGAAACCTTGAGAAATTATTTCATCTCTTCCAAAATATTGAAACCAGTGAGTTTTGAAGTGTCTCGGTATTGATATTTGAGGCGAAAATCTGGGACGAACTCGATCGTCGGCTGCCATGAAAGTGATACAACGAGTTGTCGCGCCTACACACCCCCAACAATTTTTGCTACTGTTCGCCAGTAAATTTTCAGAGTAACTGTAAAAAATGGAAGCAAACTGACCACATATTTTTATGATCTACACTGCTATGGACCATAAAAATGACAAAATAATTTGACCAACGCGTTGCAGAGTTCACTCTCTCGTGACTCGTGGTTTCAGTTGGGATTTCCCCATTGATGATGTAATTTGCTTAAAAAGCTTGAAAAGCTGTCTCCGGTTAAAAGTCTTCTAAAGCTATGAATTTGCAGCTCTGCAGGTTGCAGCCTGTTTGAAAAGATGGTTTTCATTCGAAAAATGCTGCAACTATTTCTTTCCACAAATACTTTTTTCTTTCAGTTTGAATTGGCATGCCTGACAACTAGCGATTTGCCGCTAAGCGTATCGATCTAAAGATTAAACATTTTAACCGGGCAACTGAAACCTCGTGTAGGGCTTAAAATACATTTAACAAGAGAACGCATTTCTTAACCTTTTTAATAACTTTAACTCTGGTTGCTTGCCAATTCTTTGGTCGATTGTCTGAATCAGTAAACTGTGCATTAAACCAATGCCCGGCGAACAAAACTTTTAAGGAAAACTAGAAAGTTTTCGGTTCCGGATGCTAAAAGTGGTAATGTTCCTAGCGTACAATATTTTTTAAGTTAACTTCACTTTTTGCCATAACCCCTGAGGGTAATGGGCCGGAAATTTTAAGGATATAAGCATCTCCATTCAAAATAAAACAATCAAATACATGGGTACCTCATCATCCATCAAAGCGGGCGCTTCTTCCTTTTTCTTAGCAAGCTGCGTGCTTAATTCTCCTCCGTTGGGAAGAAAAGTGGTAATGTCTAGACACTTGGTAACTACTGGATTTTTGTTAAATCAAACCGTGTATGAAAAACATACGAAAATCGTGTGACCAACACGCGAGTTTTAGAATAGAATGGAATGTTATGTCACAAATATGACCGTTATTCACATCTTGGTCATATGTCTTACCCCTCTAATGTTTTTTTAAATGCACCATGCAGTGGCGGATCCAGACCTTGACCTAGCGGNGGAGAGGGGGAAGGGAAAGCGGTTTTGTTTTGCTTGCCCTGCCGGCTTTTCTTTCTTATGCGATTTTCTATCGTTTTACCCAAAATTAGGAGGGGGCCCGCCCCCCAACCCCGGGCCCCTTCCCTTGATCCGCCACTGGCCATGTCTCGGAATGTTTTATTAATCGTTTCTAGTCACGTCCTATGCAGGTCCGGGGGGAGTACATACAAGCTTATTTCTCGAAAATTTTACGCTAGCAGTTCACGTTTCTTCCTAAATTCAGAGCGAAATGTATGATTTTCAAAGCCCAGTTACGGACCTGACCGAAAATTTATGCTCTGGTTCAGACCCTAGTTAGAAGAGGGAAATGGTTGTGAAACCCAGCAAAGGTTTTTGTTGTACGTTTTTATTGGCTGTTTTGCAACATAAATCTATCTTTGTTTCCTCCCTTTGCCAATTTCTCACTATTAATTAACTGTGTTTAGAACTCTAAAATTAATTCACGTCTCTATCACATGACATCAGCTAACCAAGAATGGCTAACGTTGGCGCAAAAGGAAAGATGGTTTCAAATTCCTCGCTTTTAACGGGGGGAGTTGAGGGACGGGGGAAACTTCAGTTTCATGGAAACATTGTAGCCAATTTAAGGCCAGTGGGAACAATTCGAAACATTATGGTCAAAATTCATGCCCTAATTTCGACCAAAACGGCTTAAGTTATGTATATAGGTTTGTACACCACTTACATCTATACGGCCTAAATAAGGAATTCCCCTTGACATAGCGAAAGAAGACGTCTGAGAATTCAGACAAACGCAAACGTCGATTACAGAAACAGAAACCGACATCAGAAGTACATGAGCAATTGTAGGTAATTGTAGTTAAGATTAAACTGACCACGGTGCGGCCCTGCAGCTTTTAAAATCGATCCATTTAACTCAAATTAACTTCACTTCATACGTTCGGTTTTTTGGATAGTGATCCAGTAAGAAGCCGGTCCCGGGGGTACTCCCTTTAGTGGACTATGCGACCCTTTAATATACCTCCAACTTAAAGAAGGTAGGGTTGTTACGAGTTAAAGTGTAGACAAGGGTAGGACAACTATCATTTAGGTATTCAAAGGGGCTTTCCAAAATATCAAATAAATATTTCACCATTTTCCACTTTAACTTGAAATTGTTGACGGCCCTTAGCGACGTATCTTACCACGATTTCGATGACAGAGAGCTTCTTATTGGAGGAGCTTTTTAACTCATTACGGCAGCATTTCTACTGTATGTGATAGGGGCACTATTTTCCTCTAGAAGGTTTATGAAAAGGTTATCTTTAGTGTCAAAAATGGTGTATAATAGCGCGAGGGTTTGAGCCTCCCCGTACAAACTTTTGTTCGGTATCCCCCGGGAAAAAAGTACATGTACTGACATCACAGGCGTACATCAACGATCTACGTAACTTGAATATAAATGTCTGAAAGAACTGGAAAAATTCTAGCTTACCTCACTTACTTTTCAAAATAGTACTTATATTCCCAGAATAGCCTTAACTGACTTCAGGAACTCAGCGACGAATTAGCTTTGCGTCATACGTTGGGTTTCTCTGATCATAGTGATCCGGAGATCAGAATAATCATTTCATAAATCGAAGAATTCCCTGGGAGCAGGAGTATTGCTTATAGGGAACTACTCGGGGAGGCTCCACCCGAAAGGGAATCCTTTTATATACCTCCAACTTGAGAAAGGTTGTGTTCTTCCGATAAGATATTTGATAGCCCTGAGCGACACATAAAATGCCAGAGAGTTATAGGTTCTTATTGGAGGAGCTATTTAACTTGTCACGGCGGTGTTTCTACTGTAAGTATGTGAAAGGGATGCTATTTTCTTTGGGAGGTGTATGAAACGGTTACCTTTTGTCTCAAAAATGGTATATAATTTAAGTAAGGGTCTGGATTCTGGGCAGAGGCTGCCCGCATAAACCTTTGTTGAGTAACCACCCCCCCTCCCGGGAAACAAGTACAAATACTGCTGACCCTACCTCAGAAAACGGTCTACGTGACTTGAATGTAAATGTCTGAAAGAACTGGAGAAAAATTAGCTTACCAACTCTCCTTACGTTTGTCTCGTGTTATTTTCATGTCTGGGTCCCAGAATGGTAATTTTACTCCAAGAATGGCCTTACTGACATCAGGAACTTAGGGGCATTAAAATTCTATTTTTAATATCACCGTGAAATACAGATTAGTTGCATTATCAAATGTTCGTCTCCGAAGGTCAAGTATGTTACTTGATATCTAGAAACAGATGGTGGCTTTAAACGAAGTCGAAAAACTTGTTTGATTCAAATAATAAGCAACGTGTTGATTATAATCCATGTAAGGAATTAGTGACACCGTGACATAGGGAGAGAAGACGTCTGACGTTTCAGACAAGCAAAGACGTCGATTGTATACTAGACTGTTCCCAGCCTCTCTATTCACGCGCACGCGAAAGAAAAAGCGAGCGAAGCGCGCGAGCGTGAAGCACGCGGGGGGGAGGGGGGGTGGAGGGGGTTTGCGAGCAAAGAGAGCAAGAACAATAGAGAAACTGTAGACATTGGAAAAAAATGGACTTATTAGACTCCTCCCCCTGTTATTGCCTTGTTATTAACAGCTCCGCCCCTTGACCAATTAACTAAATCGGACCAATAAAATCTGAGCGGTAAATTGCTTGTTTAATTGATTACAAGTATCAGTTTGCAAACAACAACACGTACGTTCAGGTGTTGAGGAAGTCGTCTAAGACGACTTCTTCAACTCCTAATTAAAAAACCTGGAAAAAGGGGGAGAAAGCCAAAAGCAAGCAGTCCGTCCGATTTTTGCAGGATATGCGCTTGTTCCTTTGCTATTCGCTAGGGGAATTTTGGCTATTCTTCTTACATATTGAAGGAAATTAATCTGTTGAGCTTAAACCCTTCCCAGTCAAGTCTTCCGTTTTGCGCTGGCGACCAGTTCTCTCGTGAATCTATACGCGCGTTCAACGATCGAATAAAAATACGACAAATTAGAGGGCTGTGAACAGTCTAATTACATATTAAAACCAGAAATTGACAACAGAAGTAAACGAGCAATTCGATATTGTTTGTAAAGAAGTCAAGTACGCTGCAGTACATTTCCACTAGCATTGTCCCTGCAGGGCGCAGAGGAAATCTAGTCAAACTAAAACCACGGAGCAGTTGCAGCTTAAATCGATCCAGTTGACTCAAATTAACTTCGCGTCAAACGTTCGATTAAATTAAAATATTTTCAAAAATTGAAGAAATCCGGGTAAGCACTCCCTGTAATAGACTATGCGGGGAAGGGCTGCACCCGAAAGGGGAACCTTTTATATACCTCCGTAGAGATTTCACGAATTCAAGTGTAGAAAAGGGTAAGTGGACTATCATTTAGTTATTTAAAAGGGCTCTCCAAAATATCTTTCTACGTTAAATTTACATTGTTAATGGCCCGTAGCGACACATTTTATCACGATTTCGATGACAGAGAGCTTCTTATTGGAGGAGCTTCTAACTCATTATGGTAGCGTTTCTACTGTAAGTATATGATAGGGATACTATTTTACTCTGGAAGGTATATGAAAGGCTTATTTCTTGTGACAAAAATGGTGTATAATAGCATAAGAGATTGTTTTCGGGGCGGAGCCTCCTCGCATAAACTTTTGTTCGGTGTTCCCCCGGGAAAGAAGTACATGTAGTGACACCACAGGCGGCCCTGGATTAGAAAACGGTCTACGTGTCTTGAATATAAATCGCTGAAAGAACTGGTAAAAAAAAAAAAAAAAATAGCTTACCAACTCACCTTATGTTTGTCTTGTGTTATTTTAATGTCTCTGTTTTTCAAAATGGTAGTTACACTCCCAGAATGGACTTGACTGACTTCACGAATTAAGCGACGAATTAGCACGGCGTCGTACTTTAGATTTTTTCTGAACGTGATCCAGAGAGACCAGTATAATCATTTCAAAAATCTAAGTAGTCCGCTAGTCTCGAGCTATTCTCTGGGATACTCCTTATAATAGGTCGACTCCAGCCGGAAGGGAATCCTTTTATATGCCTCCAACTTGAAAAAAGTAGTGTTTTGACAAGTTGAAGTGTAGAAAAGGGTAGGAAAAATATCATTTAGATAATTAAAACGGCCTTCAAAAGTTCTTATAAACCTGTCACCATTTTCCAGTTGACATAGACACTCATGATAGCCCTCAGCGACGCATCTTATCGCGGTTTAGACGCAGAGAGCTTGATTTTCTTATTGGAGTAGATATTTCAGGCATCACAGCGGTGTTTATAGTTTATACTGCAGATATGTGAAAGGGATACCATTTCCTTTGGGAGGTAACTGAAAAGGTTATCTTTTATGTCAAAAATGGTATATAATAGCGTGAGGGTTTTCTAGCTCCACCAATAAACCTTTGTTGAGTATTCCCCCGTGAAGGAAGTACAATTACTTCTGACACGACAGGCGGTCCTGTCTCAGAAAACGGTCTACGTGACTTGAATGTCTTAAAGAATTGAAAACAAAAAAAACAAAAAAAACAAACAAAACAAACAAAAAATAAAAACCGAACTTACAAACTCACCTTATGTAGTCGCACGGAGCATGCTATAAAAGTCAAACAATTGCTAAGAATAAATTAGAGCTTACGATTACATTACTGTTATTATACTTTTAATTTACTCGTCGGTGAAGTAGCATTATTGAATTCAGGTCAGAGGGCAAAATTCAAAACATCATGGTCAAAATTCCAAGAAGCTCCCGGGGGCATTCCGTATAATGGACCATGCGGGGAAACTCCGCCCGAAAGTGAACCCTTTCATTTAGGTATTTAAAAACTGTGAAAACTTTCATTTAGGTATTTAAAAGAACGTTCCAAAATATCTTGAAATGTTGTACCATTTTCCACTTTAAAAATTGAAATTGCTGATGGCCCTTAGCGACGAATCTTATCACGATTTCGATGACA